AAAGACAGGCAACAAAGAAAGGGGGAAAATATCTAAAAATGTCAATAGAAACAGGCAAAACGTGCACAACAAGTAATACAGCGTGCAACGAAACCGCCAGGGGGCGGGCGGGGTTTCAAGCCAGCACAACGTCCTCTGCCAAAATGTTCTCAGATATTTATTGTCTTCATTAAAACTTTGACATCAAAACACCATGATTTAGTAGAAATCGTTTTCGGAAGTAAAAAAAAAAAAGAAGAAAGTTGGAAACATTTATAAAAACCTATTAGTTATCACTGTTACCGAAGAGTCAAACAAAGAGTGAATTTGTGTTTGAAGGGGTTTAATGCAACTTTCAAGTGTGTAATATTATCTAAACGACACGATCTCCAAGTTCAACTTGACAAGAACAAGACAAGAGCTAGGTTGGAGAGCCTTGAAAACTCCCACACAACCCATGTGGTTGTTCAAGAACGCCCTTCTGGGGATCCTAACCAGGGTCATCCGCAAAATAACCCTGCATCGTACAAAAATAGTTGTGTGTTGTTTTTTACAAACGAAAAGAGGCTCGGCAGCCTATGTGTAATCAGAGCGCCATTCAGAGGCAATTGTTTTGGGGGTTTTTGTTGTTGTTTTGTTGTTGTTGTTTTTTTAGTAGAAGTTATACGCTCTCGTGGAATTAATTTACACCATTTATGAGACGAGCTTCGACTCGATCTCTCGGACAGTCAACCGGGACTGCTGAGAGTGATACACAATGTCCCCGCAGAAAGACGGAGATACTCGATAAAAACTTCTACCCACACGAGAATTGCGTTGTTGACGTTTACAGTGGTGCGAAACAGATTGTTAGAAGATTGTTTGTTTTTGTTTTGATTTTTAAAATTTTTATTTTATTTCTTTTTTTGAACACAGACAGGGATCGCATGAGAACGGAGCTGCTTCAATGTTGAGGAGGAAATTCGACACTAGCCTTTTGCAAATAAAAACGTTTCAAGTGAGACATCTAAATCTTGGCGCAAGCGAGGTCGTTGAAGTGTTAACTTGTTAACTTCAGATAAAAGAAGGGGGGGGGGGGGATGCATCCGAGCGCGCATACACACTCACACACAATTACAAATTTCAATACTCGCGCAAACACACGCAAACACACACAAACATACATTATTAATACACATACAATTACACACATAAAAACATTGACACACATATAAATACACCCATCATACATCTAACTCACAAACCACACACAAAAATAGAACATAAGACAGCGGTTGTTGTTGTTGTTGTTGTTGTTGTTGTTGTTGTTTTCCTTTTAGTTTAGTTTTGCTTTTTTGGTCAACTCAGTAAAACTTTCAGAGTTTCGGCAGCGACACACTGCAGAGAAAATACTCGTCTTTACTCAAAACCCGCCAATAAAGACCACACAAAATTTACAACATAGCCAGACAATATATTCAAAATCGAGGAATCCAAGAGACCAACAATTAAATGCAACAAACATGCTCAAATATCCGGAAGGAGATGCGTCAGTCGCATGCGCGTCATCGTAAGAGCAGCATTATCGTTCTTGGACAAAAAAGCTTTGGCCATGCAGTTTACAAGAGAACATATAACCACTCACGCATACAAACACACACAAACACACACACACACACACACACACACACACACACACACACACACACACACAAAAGTACACAAAAAACACCCCATGTAGAACACTCATGAGAAATGTACAGATGTGCATGTTCACGCCCAGAAACTAGCAAACTTCAGCAAGTTTGCTTACACGACCGGGCGCGCCGCACGAACGCGAGCACACACATAGGCGCGAGCGCGCGCACATACAAAGACACACACACACACCACACACACACACACACACACACACACACACACACAGGCACACACGTTAGCGCGCACGAACACACACACACAAACAAACGTAAGCGCGCGTGAACACACACACACACACACACACACACACACACACACACACAAACTAAAAACAAAAACACTACAAACGCATGCAGAGTCAGTGTTGAACACGATGCGCTTGCCGCCGTCACGAAAGCACAGTGAAGGTGGTTTCAGTCAGTACTTCTTTTAGAGAAACAAAACAGTTAAGAGCATTTCCAGGAGGTAGTTACGCTACTATGTCCAGTCAAGCTAAACAAATTGATTCCGTTTAGAAACAAAGCAAGACTAAAATTTTGCTTGAAGAAATTCTGCAGCTTTATAGAATTTTAGTCTTTTTTTAAAGTTGACGGTCAATCCCAATTATGATACAATTGGCTACATATGTCGTCCAAAACATCCGCTCCCAAAGTAAGGGTGGGTTGAGCATTCAGTATGGCGAGCTCGTCTTTTTGGGCCAATTTAGAATTTCAGACTTTTTCTGTAAAAGCACTGCTGGTCAATGTACTTGTGACCTGGTAGCTCTAAAGTCAGTTTGTTAAAAAAATTTGAGGATATCTCTTTTCCGCAGAGAAACGGGTAAAAGGCGGCTTTGGGTTTTTTTCTTCATTGACCCACTTATCATCCCCGCATGACCCACTTATCATCCCCGCATGACCCACTTATCATCCCCGCATGACCCAGTTATCATCCCCGCATGACCCACTTATCATCCCCGCATGACCCACTTATCATCCCCGCATGACCCACTTATCATCCCCGCTCAGTTCGGGTTTCAAGGGAAACGACGAAACAACGAGATGAAAATACATATGCCAAAAAATATTTCGAACATGAAATTATAATTATAAAAAAGCAAGCTTTGCATCAGGACAAAATATGTCTAGTCTCGCCCTTTCCAAAACGTCAGCTTCCGGGGAAAAGTGGGGGTGGGGTGGGGGTGGGGGGTCGCTGATGACGACCTTTCCTCCACTGATCAAGACGGCAAGCAGTTTGTGGTGCCTTGTAGTTTAAAGCCTAAACTTCGAGTTTTAACGACATAATGAAGTATTTTTATATCCTATCAAAGAACAAAATTGTCTATTATTATTATAACACGGACAAGTATGAAGTTATCCAATGATATTCAGTAGGTACAGCTCTGACAGACGCCAGCTTGGGACGCGCGCGACAGATGCACGCCACGCTTGGCGGTCATTCAACGCCACAACACGAAGATGCATGTACTACCAGCACAATATTGGGATTTTCCAGTTATTGTTCCACACCACCAACATGCCATGGTGCGCCACACACGGAGACCGGATGCCATTAGAAAAAGAAAACAACAAGAAACACTCTCGTCCGACACACGTCGACCACGGTACAGAATATGGCACGAGACAAAAGGAAAGCATGCCCGACCAGGTTGCAGTAGTCAGTGTTATGAGTAGTGGGCGAGTAAATGCTAGAAATTACAAAAAATTACAACATTCTCCTCAGACTACGTATGAGTGGTGGCAGAGGGGGGTTTGGGGGGAGGAGAAAGGAGGCACAATGTCGATAGAACGTCATGCCATTCGGCGAAAGCAGGGAGCCACTTACCCCGTAAAGGTAGCCAAGAGAATTCTGACATTGCCATTTACTTTGGTACAATTTTCAAAATTGTGCAAGTTCTCTCCGCTTATGTGGTCAGAATTGCTGACGCCATCGCATTCTTTTGGACCGATTCGGAAAAGTCAGATAATGGATTTTCCAAAAGGCGACGGCAAGTGAGGCATGAGTACACAAATCGAAACACAGGGAAGGGGAAGATTGGAGGAAGAGAAAATAAGAATTAGACGTATAAAATAGACGTATAAAATACGTACATGTCAAGGAAGAGAAAATATGAATTAGACGTATGAAATACATACATGTCAAAGTATATCAAACGGAAGTGATAAAGAGCATAAGCATCTTGTGACAGAGAAGGACAAACAATCAAAATCTTTTCTTCAGAAATATATATCACGTATATCATCAAATACATATAGTCCGTTTACATTGAGATCAAAAACGCTAAAAAAAAATCCCATCTCATGACATATAAGAGTTTCCAACAAAACACAAAGAACAGAGAGTCATGCCTCGCGTCACATCATAGGAGTCAGAACAGTGCAAGAAGAAAGAAAGTGTGGAAACAGTGAAAAACATGAAACAAGAGAAACAGCAATCCCACACGCTAATTGAATTTTAAACGAAAATTGTTAAGACAGATGTATCACAGAACATCATCAAAGCTATAACTATCTCTCACTCACACACACACGCACACACACAGAAACGAAAAAGCAATACAAACATACACACGCAAACAAAACTAAAGTTACCAGCAATATCATTATTCCGGTTTCTTTCACAATGCTATTTCAAACAAACACAATAACATGAGACTGAAACAAAGATTAATTAGTTTTTCAAAAATGTAATATTGTAGAAGCGTATCGACATTATTAAGATAATTTAGGAAATGGGCTGCTTTAACCTTGTGTGTCAGGGCCAATCGGAGTTGAGAGGGCTACAACATCCCAGCAGAAACATGGTGATACATGTACTCGATAAAAATGATTCCAACTAGAGAATCAAATTCACGCCATTTGCTTGCGACGGCTTAGCGCCTTATTGCTGCACCACATACGCCAGCAAGAAACTTTCAGACACTGAATGAATTATTTAAATATAAGAAGTGAAATAACCAAGTGTTAATTAATGCAAAATACCCTGTATATCTTAAACTCTGGGAAGACTTGCTTGTTAACCATTCGATTGCTGATTTGTAAAGTTATTGTAAAACGTTTTACATCCCCATCGAAACACTTTAGACCGTTAAAGAGGGGGACCGCTTTGACCCTCCCTGTCATGGCTATCCTGGGCTGAGATGGATTAATTAACACAATATCCCAGCACACAGGTGGAAGTATAATATTATGTATTCCATAAAATAACGTCATCCCAACGTGGGAACTGAGCTCATGTCTTTTGGGTGAAACTTCCAAGAGCCTTACAATAACACACAGACGCCTGTCCCATTCACCTATCAGGTTTCAATTTTTAAAAATGTAGCAAATCAGACACCAGACCCAAATCTTAAATTTTAACCTGTAATGGCAAAGAAACATTTCACATTTTAAAAATTTTTTGGCACTTAAAAAACAATGAATACGATTTGCCTGAAATATTCTAACTCTTACAGTTTCCATTTCAGTAAAAGCAAGCATATAGACACAATAGCAGTCTTTAAGGGCAGGCAAAGAGTAAGCAAGCGAGATAGACACAAACGAGGTAGAGTTAAGGAGAGACACTATAGAGATCGAGTTTAAGGTGAGCCTATCAGTCACAACACCCTCCAACCACCCGTGTGACACAGTAGTGCATTCAACAGACACGAAACAAGTAGTTAAACGAGAGAGTTTATCAGTAATAACACCCTCAAACCACCCCCGTGTAGCAGCCACCAGTCTACTTACGCTTGGGGCAGGGTCCTTTACAAGGCTTGCAGTGCACGCCGTCCTCGGCGTGTTTCCCGGCGCTGCAGGCCCGCACACAGTGGCCGTTGTCCTTCA